CGCTCCTTCCCGCTTCAAGTGCGACCGCCGCGCTCCTGCCGTTCGAGAACTTGGCTACCAGCCGCCAGCTGTCCTCAGTAATACCACAACGCTGCCTCTGCAGTACCGCACGCTCGAGCAGCTGCCATCGAATCACAGCGGCGACTGTTGCTGACTGTCCCGTCGCCACGACCCTCACGTCGGCGTCGCTCCTCTATCCCCACCCGGCCCGTCCAACGCCGCCAAAGTCACGCTGGCTTCCCAATCCTCCTTCTCCGCTTCAAGTGGCCAACGCAGGAGGCGCTCTTCTGCTGCAAGGCAATTGCCGCCCAGTAATATCAACCTTCCGGACAGTGCAGAGTCGCGAAGCAGGTTAGGCACAACCAGCGGTCTTCACGGCCGCTCGCTGGGCGAAGCCTTACCCTCCATTCCTGGCACGCCAGGCGCCTTCGAAATGTCGAGATCGCCTTCGCCTCAACCAGGCGGATGGTCGAGCCCGGGCTTGAATACCCCATACGACAACAGTGGGCGGACGAGCCCCTACCCGAATGGCTCCTCTTCACACAATGTCACTTGGGCATCGGCTCAACAGCGGAGTGCTGAGGTGAAAGGATATCCCGGCTTCACCCCGAGAAACCAAGGCTTCTTCGGCAAGCACTTTCGCAGAATCTCTACAAGCTTGCCCTTCAACCACGGCGACAAGGAGAAACTAGGTCGTGGGCGGTCGCAAAACAAAGTAATGCGTATTTTGAATGGCATAGCCTGGACAATATGGCGTCTGCGGAAACGGGTCGCATTGGTACTATTCGTAGTATTCTTCTTCATTTTCTACAATTCAAACACACGTAAGTCATCACCTCCTCCAAGCCCCCCCTCTCGCGATTGGCATTGACAGATCTAGCCATCCGTCGTATGTACAGACGGTCCGCATGGTTCGGCGGCGGCAGCAAATACGTCGTTATACTCGCAGCGAACCAAGGTGGAGGTGTTATGGAATGGAAGGGTCCCCGCGAATGGGCTATCGAACGCGACAGCGTCAAGAATAAGAAGAAGTACACAAGGAATTGGGGCTACGAATTGGAGATCGTAGACATGAGCACCAAGAAGCGTTATGCGCACGAGTGGAGAGAAAGTTGGGAGAAGGTTGACACCATTCGCAACGCCATGCGCAAGTACCCGCATGCTGAATGGTACGTGCTGCGTGAAGATGATGTGGTCCAGGCTAATATCTCGCAGGTTCTGGTGGCTTGATACGAACACGTTCATTATGGAGCCGACATACTCCCTTCAGAAGCATGTCTTCAAGCAGCTACAAGACGTGACATATCGCGACATCAACGTTTACAACCCCCTCAACATCACCCATCCTCTGACCGACGAATACCTCGACCCCGAGACACGCTCACCAGTGGGAGACGGCAAGGTCGACTCTGTCAACATGCTCTTACCCCAAGACTGTGGCGGTTTCAATCTGGGCTCATTCATGGTGCGAAGAAGCGCGTGGACCGACAGGCTGCTTGACATCTGGTGGGACCCTGTCGGCTACGAACAAAAACATATGGAGTGGGAGCACAAGGAGCAGGACGCTTTCGAGTACATGTACCAGAACCAGCCCTGGATCAGGCCTCACGTTGCCTTTATCCAGCAACGCCAAATCATGAGTTTCCCACCAGGCGCATGCGGTGAGAATGGCGACAACCCCGATATCCACTACCAAGAGCAAGATCGCGACTTTATGGTCAACATGGCTGGCTGCGAATGGGGTCGCGACTGCTGGGCTGAGATGTACAAGTACCGCCAACTCAGTAACCACCTGAATCGCACACCCTGGGAGAAGTTCAAGGACGGTATTTCGGACTTTTTCAAGAGCAGGACAAAGAAGGAGGAGAAGAAAGAAGAGAAGAAGAACTAGAGATTTCACGAAACATGGGGGGTTGGTCTGGATGAACTGGAACGCATTTCGATATATTTTGGATTTCCCTAAGCCTGCGGCTCGGCTTACGATTTTGCTATAATACCCGCACGCATAGAGGAGGATGTATGACAGTGGTATGATATCTGCATGGATCGGAGTCGATGTTCCATACCTGTACGATACGAAATTGACTTTCGGCGAACTGGACACCGAGCTGGACGGTGTGTTTGCATCTCATTCGTAGGATCGCTATTTGCATTGCAAGGTCTCCCCAGTTGTTCATACCAAGCCTGTGACGTACTCCAGAAGCAGTATGGGGATCAAGGAAAGGAGAACTTGAACTTGATACAGATGAGCGAACCTACAGTATGCGGTATTGGAGGACGCGAATCTCCTGCAAGGCATGCACGGGAGAGCTGGCCTCCCTTGTCCAGTCCATGTCGAAGAAGAACAAAGTCTACGTGGCGCAACTCGACTCGCTTCACACCCCAGATAATGACGTTATAGATAGCGTGTGGTAAACAAGCGTCGAGGAGGGCGGAGTGATGATGGATCTGTATAGACTTTGGCATGGTTGTACGTAGCACTGAGCGATGAGGCTGCGCGACTACGCGACCATGTCTCGCACACCGCAGACCACAGGGCAAATGCGCTCAGGAGGTAGATGCGCATGTCCTGGATAAAGGCAGGTGAGCACGTCTAGACTCGCCAGGCTTGGATAGGAAGGGGAGTGAGCGACGTCTGATTCGTCAGTCACCCACACCTACTGCCAATGGTCATACGCCAACGACCAGACGGGACACGGGGTCAGGAACGAGCAGCCGTCTACGTACTCCAGCCTCGACCTTGCGATATCTCTCCTTACATCAACTTGTCTCCTTCTGCTTGCTACGTTCGCTTCGATCGTGTTCCTTCGCGCCCCGCCCAAGGCGATTACCGTGGTCTCCGCTTCCCACCCTTCCCCACGAAACGTCATTACGCCCAGACCCTGGCCGTGCGCAAGTTGGGGAGCCAGTCTACATAGCGTCAGCTCGTCCGCGGCCTTACCTTATCTCCAACGACGACTCGCAGCGTCGCCGCGACAGGATTCGGTGGCTCTGGGTGCCGTGCCTTGTTTCTGGGCCCCGATAAGCTGTTTCAGAGCTGCGCTGGCCTTTCTTGCTTCGATCAACAAGCTGTAGCGTTCCCAGTCCTAACAAAGAACCGAAGTCGGAACGGCCCTTGGGATCCACTTGAGCGCATACCTCCACACCACCGGTCAACCTAGGGCTCGGGGATATAGGGACTATTGCTGAGGTCCAGCGCCGCAGAGCTCTTTTCAAGGCTCGGATTTGTGAAGGCCAGGGTGCGATGCACGATCACCGTCCACCGCGAGCAGGCAGACAGAACATAGGGGCCGACGACGCGAACCACCAGGACCAAGCCATGCCTCCTTCTCGACATGTCGCTGCGTCTTCAAGGCAACGCTCAGAGGGTATGACCCGTTCTCTTTCAATGCTTCACTGCATCTGTACGTCGAGCAACAGCTGACACATCGTACACAGAGTCATGGATTGATCTCGCATCGGCGCCTTCGTCCACCTCCCTATCCTCTGCGACCGACGAGATCATCACTACGGGCCTCACGGTGCAGCACGACTCCAACGCGCACAGGCGGCCCAACAGACGCTCACGAGGCGGCGGTCAGTTCTCAATAGGGACTGGACACCGCATCACGGCGGGAGGAAACAGTAGTCAGGAGGAGTATGAAGAGAGCGAAAGCGAGTCGGACAGGGTCATGACATCCTCCAACGAGGCCATCGCTCCGTCACCTTTGAGGCAAACTCCGCAGTCGGTGGCGTCTTCGGAGACCATGTCTGAGAGGGAAGATGATGACGATGAGAATGCGACGGCGGTCAACTACCCACGTTCCTCAAGACGGGAGTTCCAGCCACGGCCAAACGCCTTCTCGCACCCTAACAACCAACAAGCTATCCGGTCGCAGTCCGGCACCCTGTACACACCTCGCAGGAACGTGAGGCCGGCTGGACAGCGACAGCACTCCTACCCTCAGCATAACCCTTACAATGCCATGGCACCCAACTACCAACCCGACCACGACGAGGCCCTCCGCGCCAGCCTATCCACGTTGCTCTCGGCTGCCGCCGCTGTGCGTGGCCTCCCGAAGCCAGGCCAACCGCGCGCGAACACTCCCTCATCCACACGAGTCGATCCATCCTCCCTCCGCATGGTGCCAGAGTCCGTGGCCTTGGGCAACATATCCGAAGAGGCCGCATCATCCCCATGCAGCACCAGTAGCAGCCCTTCCGAGAAGTCCAAGCGCAAAGCCAGTCCGCCAATAGCCGGTGCTCGCAGCAGCAGCAAAGACCGCCGTACTGTCAAAAAAGCACGCAAGACAACCCCGATGATTGAGGAAATCAGCCCGACGCTGCTTACCTGGGTCGTCAGCGCTGGTGTCGTAGTCCTCGTCAGCGCCATTGGTTTCTCAGCTGGCTACGTCGTCGGCAAAGAAACTGGACATGCTGAGGCGATGGGTCAGATTGGCACCGCAGGTTCCGAGGCCGGACGCTGCGGTAAGGAAGCTGCTGCAGGCATAAAGGGCACTGGCCTCGGCCTGCGGAAGCTACGATGGGGTTCTGGAGCGGGAATCCGCGTCTAAGCATCTACGATAACGGTGACGACATGATATGCATAGCATTTAGCGAACACGAATTTGCAGGTATTGCGGGCGTTTCCATTCCTTTCTACTACGACAGTTTGCATATTGATATCACTCGGCATGGCGCTGGTTTGGCGTTGGGCTTGGTCTGAAATTTAGGAAGTCTTGGGGTCGTGGCTACGACTCCATGGAAGGTGAGAAGATAGTTGGTGCTGTTGCATGCACGCATAATGTATCCGCATTGCTGGTCTGTTAGCTACGATGGCACTTATAGACTCGATATAGGCATTTATTTTTATAATCCATGCGTTGCTATCAAAACCGGAGCAGCCCGTGAGGTCGTGCTCTTGCAAGACGTTCATCGAGAACAGCTGTAACTAAGATAGCGTTACTGCTCCACAGGCTCGTCCTCTTCCACGGCAGTATTGGTGTCCGATGACTTACTTTTCATAGATGTAGAGTCATCGTCATCGCCACCAGTCCTTCGTCCTCAGGCTCAGCTTCATCGTCGGACGTTGTCTCTTCTTCATCCACGTCCGTTTTCCCCTCATCGTCGTCTTCATGCTTCAACGCATTTGTGACTTCAATTGGCTTACGACGAGTGTTCTTCCTAATCGCCTCGCAAAATGCCTCGCATTCGCGCTCGAGTACATCATCATCCTGGAGCCAGCAGATCAACCTAACGCTTATCCTCTCAAGTCCCAGGAAATGTTTGAACTCCCTGGCGAACATTCTGCTCAAAGTAGTCAAGTTCGGCATACAGCCCTTTATGTCGTAGAAGATTATCTCTAGAACTTTGATCGCTTCGAGCTGGTGCGGCTCTAGCTGCTCAACTATCTTGAAAATCTTTTGGTCGTCTATGATGATTACGTTGTTTTTGAACAGTAGCGTAGAGGTGTCTGAACGGATTTGTCGGCACGTCGATGTGACGTCTAGTAGATCGGTGGGCTCACATCCTTCCGGTTGGTAGTCTGTCTCGCTCGTGCGATAGTGATGATGTGAGCGACCGAAGTAGACGCTGCCAACCGAGAAGACGTAGTTGTAGATCTTATTTCGAACTTCTCCTGGCAGCTTTAGGAGTGGCGACTCGAGCTGGTTGCGTTGTGTGCTATTATTGATGTAGTCAGCATGGGGGTTTGTCATGATGACTTCAACGTTCAGACGTACATTGTATCTGCCTCGGCCATCATATCTTCTTTATCGGACATGGTTGAGTGCAAGTTGTAGGATATTTTGAGTTGCAGAAGAGTGTTAGGTAGACTTTAGGTGTGACAGGGGTAACAAATACAGAGAGCAAGATTTTTGTATCACGCCCGATGTTGATAGTCTTGGGTGAATGGATAGGGTGTGACTTGTTTGTTATGTATTACCCTGTGAAGCTACTACTACAGTGTTGCGGGTTCTGCGTAGGCATTCATTCCATTGTCGCGTGGGAATGAAGAGCAAGTTGGATATGCGGTTCTGTGTCACCGTTCGCTTCATCAGGCACACGGAATACAGAAGATGGATGCAAGTAATGTAAAGAATGCTCGCTATTGTCAGATGAAGGGCTCCGTCCTCTTTCAGTCAACCAAAGAATACCTTTTCCCATCTGTTGCTCCAATATGTGCTTCTACGCCATGACCAGATTTCATTGGCCAGCTGGGGTCGTATGCATCCATGTATTCGACGGCCTCGTGCCGACAGCTAAGCGGAAGTCTTCACAAAGTTCCTAAAATCGACCACGACGTCTACATCATCTCGATCGAGTCCCTTCTCGACAGCCTCGACTAAATGTATACGCCCCGATAGTCCCAAATTTGTTGGACAGCAGAAAACTTCCACGCGCTTTAGCCCCGTCAGCAATCTGACCTCTGACCACAAAATTTTCCATACTGCGCCACTTATAGCGTTCATGTAATGTGTACGTATGATTGATATGGCCTGACGCTGAGTGGTGTTAAGTCTCTCTATTTGATAGAACGAGGACCTTATGATATCCATAGTGCATAGTTCGAATGGTAGAATCTTGGTCTCCGCGTAGAGCTGCCGAGACACGAGCGTCAAGCCGACGAATCGATGGAGAGGTGTGAGCGAGACGGACGGATCATAAGACAATGCAGAAAGGAGGGCGAATTTCCTCTCACTGTAGGAGATGCGAAGCTGCATACCACCGAGCGCGTATTCGTAGATCTTGTTCCGTAGCTCAGCAGGTAGGCGAAGAAGAGGTGAGCGCTGGCGGTTCATCTCGGAGCTATACATCAGGTAAGCTTTTATGAAACGTTGTGTTACTTCAAACTTACATGACTTCTGCGGCTTCGCTAGAAAGTCTCTCGCCCGAAGGATCGATGATGGTATCGTAATAAATTGGCATATTGTTCATGTAGAGTTTGCGCGTTCCGAGGGGTAGCTGTGGGAAGTTGAAGAGTAAGTAGAAGTGGAAGTGACAAGGTAAGTGACAGTGCCAAGACTAGGCTCACCTTCACTCTGGCCAGTGGTCGCACCTGCCTCCCAGAGCCTCTCATTCGCCAAGGAAAATTGAGTAAAGACAAACAAAACGTGGCTTCCAGCACCTCATCCCAGGGGATTCAACCTAGCTGTCGAGATACACAGACAACCCAGAAGACTACATTGCCTCAAGATTTCTCTTAACTCTTTGTTTCATACTAATGTAGACACCAAAGTACCTGTTACACATGTGAAATGCCCCACCATCTTCTCGTGGTATCACAGCACACCCACTCTAGCACAATACCTGCAAAGATCAGCGGACTAACGTAGAACTAAATGTATCCTTGACTACCTGGCCACATGAGCGGTAAACTTTTCAAGTAAATTGAAAGTAAAAGGAACTGATACAACTCCCGCTGACCGACCCATAGAGCTGATCGCAAGCTGGAAACGCTATACACATGAGAACATAATCTTCATCCCGATCATCCCGTCCCAAGATCTTGATCCCACCTGACCCTACATCTGGATATATCTCTTACAAAGAACCATTCCTTTTCCGATAAAACATCAACATTGCCGTAGTAACCAACAAGTTTCTTCCTCTATGGTCGACCACCAACGAAGTCGCTCCATGACCTGACTTCACTTGGGATGCCCTCCTTCTTGGGAAGCTTCTCGCTCATGCATTGAGCGAACAGAACGGCAGTCTATATTGAAGTTAGCTTATCATTCCTTGAATGTCAGGGTGATGGACTTACCTTGGGCTCCATGAATAGCGGAACACCGAAGTCGACCGCGTTCCTCCTCATTACGTAGTCCTCGTCAAACAGGCCACTCGCCCTGTACTTGGCCAGGTTGAAGCAGCCGCGGATGTCGTTCTTCTCAAACACCTCACGGAGTTTCCTCTTGTCATCCTTGGGGAACTCAATGACGTCGACGCTGATGCCCTCGGTGTTCTTCTCCAGAAGCTCCTTGACGTCCTTGTTGGCAGCAAGGAACCTGTAGCCAAGTGCGTGGACGTACTTGGCGATCTGGATAAGGGAGTTCGAGTGGAGCGAACCAGGTGTGACATCACCACCGAAGAGGAGACCCTCACCGGGCTGGGGAAGACGGAAGTTCATCTGCGATTGCGCGGACGCCCAGTAGGCCTCGACCAGGTCCTTACCGAAGCAGGCCATTTCACCGGTAGATGACATCTCTACGCCAAGGTAGGGGTCAGCACCCGCCAACCTAGTCCAGGAGAACTGGGGAACCTTGGTGGCGAGGTAATTCCTCTCAACGCTCATGAGGTCAGTTGGCTCGGGCACGTCACGGCCAACGAGAGCCTTTGTAGCAACTTCGATGAAGTTGGTACCAAGGACCTTGCTGACGAAGGGGAAGGAACGAGAGGCGCGGAGGTTGCACTCGATGACCTTGAGGTTAGGCTCGGAACCCTCAACTTCTTCCTTGATGATCTGCATGTTGAAAGGACCAGTGATGTTCCAGGCCTTGGCAACCTTGTCTGCGATCTCCTTGACACGTTCCTGAATGCGCTTGTCGAGGTGGACAGGGGGCAGCACGAGGGTGGCATCTCCAGAGTGAACACCGGCGTTCTCAATGTGCTCACTGACAGCGTGGACAAGGACGTTTCCGTTGGAGGCGACAGCGTCGCAGTCAATCTCTTGAGCGCCGTCAATGAACTGAGTGATGACAACTGGGTGGTCGGGCGAGACGTTGGAAGCGGCAAGGAGCTTCTCCTTCAGCTCGTCCTCACCGCGGATGACAGTCATGGCAGCGCCTGACAGGACGTATGATGGGCGAACGAGAACTGGGTATCCGACGGAGTTTGCGAACTTCTTCGCTTCGTCGTAGGAAGTAAGCTCCTTCCAGGCGGGCTGATCAACACCGATTGAGTCCAGGATGGAAGAGAACTTGTGGCGATCCTCGGCCTTGTCGATGTCGTGAGGGTCGGTTCCAAGAACCTTCGCCTTTCCAGACTCCTGGAGCTTGAGAGCAATGTTCTGGGGAAGTTGACCACCGACAGAAACAACAACGCCGCTGGCAGTCTCCAACTCGTATATATCCATGACACGTTCATAGCTGAGTTCCTCGAAATAGAGCTTGTCGGCGACGTCGAAATCGGTCTGAAAAGCGGTTAGTCAAGCCAAACGTATGCGTTCATGCCACCTACAGAGTATGTCTCGGGGTTGTAGTTGATCATGACAGTCTTCTTTCCGAGCTCGTTGAGAGAGCGGGTAGCGTTGACGGCACACCAATCGAACTCGACTGAGCTTCCGATACGGTAGACACCGCTTCCAAGAACGATGATACCGTGGTCGTCAAAGGTAATGTCATGGGACGAGGCGTTGTAAGTGGTCTAGGGTTGTATGTTAGCGACTATAGCCAATCGCAAGGAGATGCTGCAATGATAATGCAATGATAATTTACTTACGTATAAATAGTTCGTGTTTGCCGGGAATCTGCAATAGCAAGTCAGTATATGTATCGTTCCTCAAATGCGATCCAAGATGCTTACTCTGCCGCCAACGTATCGATACGCTTCACCCATGGCTTGACACCGAAGCTCTTCCTGCGAGCACGGACCTCGTCTTCAGTGCTGTTAACGGCCTTGGCGATCTGCTTGTCAGAGAAACCGAGCTTCTTGGCCTTGAGGATGATCTCCTTCTTCAGACCGAAGAGGCTGCCTATCTCCTCAAGCTCGTGCGTGCAGTCGACGATGTTCTGGAGCTTGTGCAGGAACCACTTGTCGATCTTGGTGAGGTCGTGAACCCTGTCGACAGTGTAGCCTTCGTGGAAGAGCGCCTGACCGACGGCGAGCCATCGGCGATCGGTGGGGTTCTTGAGCTCTTCGTCCAAGCTCTCGCCGTATTTCTCGCCCTGGAACCCGAGGTACTTGGGGTCGACTTGACGGCAAGCTTTCTGGAAGGACTCCTCGAATGTACGTCCAATGGCCATGACTTCACCGACAGACTTCATGGAACTGCCGATGTCGCGCTTGACGTTCTGGAACTTGCTGAGATCCCAACGGGGCATCTTGGTGACAACGTAGTCCAAGCTGGGCTCGAAGTTTGCGGTGGTGGTCTTGGTGACGGCGTTGGGCAATTCAGGAAGAGTATGCCCAAGACCAATCTTGGCCGCGGTGTACGCGAGTGGGTAACCAGTGGCCTTGGACGCCAATGCAGATGAACGAGAGAGACGAGCGTTGACTTCGATGACCCTGTAGTCGAGACCATCTGGCTGCAGGCAGTATTGCACGTTGCACTCGCCAACGACTCCCAAGTGACGGACAATCTTGATGGACGCAGACCGGAGCATGTGGTATTCCTCGTCGCTGAATGTCTGACTGGGCGAAACGACGATACTGTCACCAGTGTGCACACCAAGAGGGTCGAAGTTCTCCATGTTGCAGACCGTGATGCAGTTGTCGCTTGCGTCGCGCACAACCTCATACTCAGCCTCTTTCCAGCCCTTGAGGGACTTCTCGACCAAGATCTGGGGTGAAAGTGTGAGGGAACGAGCTGACAAGTTCTTCAACTCCTCTGGGTTGTTCGCGAAACCTGAACCGAGACCACCGAGCGCATAAGCAGCACGGACGATAATGGGGTATCCGACCTTCTCGGCAGCGTCCAGTGCCTCGTCGACAGTGGAAACGGCAATCGACTTGGCGATGGGAATGTTGATCTCGTCGAGAGCGCGCGCGAAGAGGTCACGATCTTCACTGGTCTTCAAAGTCTGGACGCTGGTTCCGAGCACCTTGACGCCGTACTTCTCGAAGATACCCTTGGCATCCATCTGTACACCAAGGTTCAGCGCAGTTTGTCCACCGAAGCTGAGGAAGATGCCATCGGGCCTCTCCTTCTGGATGACATATTCGGCGTATTCGGGAGTTACAGGCAGGTAGTAGATCTCGTCGGCGAGCACGTGGGATGTTTGGATGGTAGCAATATTAGGGTTGAGAAGAACAGACTTGACGCCAGCTTCCTTCAGGGCCTTGAGTGCTTGGGAACCTGATACTTGGTTAGCGCGCAAGTTTGCGTGTGCATGAGAATGTATGCGCACCTGAGTAATCGAACTCTCCGGCTTGACCAATGCTGAGACCACCGCTACCAATAACTAGGACTTTCTTGACATCGACCAAGTTCTGCGCGCCAGAAATGACGCCGCTCTTCAGGTATGCCTCTGCATTAGGCGCAGTCTGTGTCTTATTCCATGTCGACGCGACCTTTGTGAATGCCCGCAGCTGCCGGAGGGCGGCAGGTGACTCTGTGCTGGAGCGGAGCGAAGTCAACGGCCGAGCACTTCGGGTTGTGAAACTTCGAGAGTATGTGGAAGGAGTAACAGAGCGGGTGTGACCTGTAAGGGAAGGTACGCGACGTGCTAGACGTCCGCAGAGAGCCATTTGCAGGCAGTCAAGCAACTGGGTAGCTTCGGGCTCGACAAAGGATGAGGATGGAGGATTAGGCGTCGAACGCGCGGGAGGAAGGTCGCTCGGTGGCCGACGGGTGCAATTGAAGGCTTATAGCTCGACCCAGTTGAGCAGAGCACGAATGACTCCCTCCGGGTTTATGTATAATCTGTGGGGAAGATGTGATGCGGCAGCCAAAAAATTCCAATGATGCGCGACGGGCCAATCAAGCTATCTCCGATAACGCACAGATAAGACCGTCGGCGATCCTGGGAAACGGGAGGGATGAAGCGTGGTATGCGGTCATTTACTGCCTCTATTTAATTCGCATTTCTTCAAATTGATCCACTCATTATACGCGACCCAGTCACAAGTACGCCCGGTGTAAATGCGAATTGCTCTGTTTGCTACCATATTGTCGCGAGCAACATCGTGCGGAGCACCGATTGCGGCGCCGAAACTCTGATCCCCAGCATTCTGGCACGCAAGCACGGATGAGAAGAAATTTTGACATGGTCGTGCAGAGCTTTCTCCATACAGTCACACTAGCGCGTCGCGGAAGTCATTGCATTACTACTTTCAGCACCATGCGCCTCTTCTTAGTAGTCATACATCTGTGAGGACGGGTAGCACGAGTCGTGACACTCTCAGACGTACACTCGTTGTAGTAGAGCATGCCGACAACTCGCGCCCTCCACGACCGCTTACTTTGCGGTCTCTACAATCACGTATCCACAGGATGCCAACATTGAACTATCCCAGTATCACATTGTGCCAATACGCTAATTCGCTTTGTGGGGTCTTCGGACCGTTGGTGACTCCTCATGCTTGGGCCGGCACGATGAAGAAGCCTGGCGCGTTTCTGCCACGATCGCAGCACTCGTGTGCTTCTGCGCACGAGCAGGTGTATGACTGTGCCTCTAGCCGAACTTCCTCATCATGCCTTCTTTGCCTTATCTGCCTTGTCTGCAGCGGTGTGCCGATTCTTGTATTCGCGTGGGCTCTCCAGTGTCTTACTACTGGCGCCGCCCATCCTCTGTATGAAGTTTGGCTTCGACCACATCCCGACCCTGTTCGCGCGAGCCTTCCTCTCTGCAGCGCGATACTTTTCTTCAGCGGTACCGAACTCAGCACCTGTTTTGGCCTCGTATACGGTAGCCAATCCAGCCTTCAGCATCTCCAATCCAACGTCTTTCCTGAAAAGCCATCTGCGCACAAAAACCTGGGCGACGATGCGATCGTATTGATCACGTCTGTATATGTAGGCGCGTACTCGGCGGTTATGGATCAGATTGATGAGCCATTCATGGGCCTCTTTCGAATACGGCTGAGCTTCTCGGCCCCAGTGTGCAAGTTCTGGAGCGTCGACTCCAGCAATCCGAATGTGTAGCTGGGTGCAAAGTTAGCTGTCGATAACGACGTGAAGTCCTACCGTGACGTCTAGTACCGTCTTGTTACAGAGCACTTACTGTCTGCCTGACGAGATCCTCTCTTTTTGATGGCACCTTCTTCCAGGGCAAGATACCCCACCCAGCTATCCTCCCACCTGGCGTGTGGAATAACCTGAAGTTGTCTGCATCTCCAACACTCGTGACTTGGCCAAATACACCTTTGCGGCGGTAGTAGTTTGGCTTGATGTGGTTGACGGTTGGGATGCGACGCAGATAGGTCTTGTAGAGCCGGACACCAGCAACCGTCGAGACTGTGAGCGCGATCGCCGGAATCAGGGTCCTCGGCTCATACAGCGCGCTTGACCAGTTATTTGGCTTCGCTGGCGCGATCCAGTCTGCGAGTCCACCTTTCTTTTGGTCATCGTCGTTGCGTGACCACGGCCATCGCATTGTTTATTATGCGAGGTCGTGAGGTGTGGGAAGTGAAGACAGAAGACGGTGTGGGCCTCGAATTGTTGGCAATTGGCGCAACCGCCTCGGTTTACATAGAAGGTTAGCGTCAACATGTATCACGTGATTCCCATGCGTTGTCAAGATTCCAGGACAAGGGCAGAGAATTTGGAGAGAACTGAAGATGTAAAGTGCATTTGATTAGACTATCAACCATTCTATCGTGTTCAGGTGCATTATCAGTATGTCAATGACATGACGCCCAGTTGGCTTTCGACCCGGGAGCTGCAAAAGTACGGTGCGCCACGATGAAAGCACACATTCTTCTAAGCGTCGCTGTGTGTTCGAGCGTTATATGTCCCAGAATCAGGGAAAGGCTGCGATGGGTTGTGCTAGCAGGATCTAGCAGCCCTGAGCCCATGGTGTAGCACCAGCTATTGTCTTAAAAGTATGCCATCGGCTTTGCAGGCCATCACAACCCACGCAGCACCAAGGATTTTGTGCAACGGATGACACGTAAGTCTGCGAGGGAGCAAAGGGGATCTCGAATAGTGCCTCGTAGACTACAACGCGCAGTCAAGATCGTCCAATTCCGATTTTAGAAACTCGGTAGGCCGCGATCCGCATAGACGATATGTATGATGAGTCTCGATTGGTGGATATGGTATAGTCGCAGTCTCGGATCTAGTACGGTGAAGGTTTGCGCAGGAATTTGTGAAAATAGGTGACTTCTAGGGTCCTGTATGTCTCATCAGTCGTGATCCAATCAGAGTGATATATACGTATTGAAGTACCTGCTATGTACAATAACATGTATTGTCTTTTCCCCTCATATCCTTCTATCGGTTTTCTCAGTCAGCTTCGCCAATCGAGCCTTACCTCAGGAGGCGCAATTGATGAATGCAGCCATGTACGGCATGATCGAAAGCCTCGAAGCCATGCTATCGCGACTGCTGAAGAAGTATGAGGAGATTGCATGCATGTATTGCGCAGTATTTAGACCCAGGTGAAGGCCTTCGAGATGGAGATACGGATGTCTGGAGCTGGGTGTCGCAACGAGTTGTAGCACTGCTCGCTTCCGTAAGAGCGGGGTCAGCATTGCAGCTATCGGCGCTTCCTGGATGCCAAGCTACACATTAACATTGAGAGAGTATGCGCAAGTCCACCATGGCCATGATGGAGGGCAGATGGGCGCCTCGAGGTGGGCGGGAGAGGGATGAAGTCAGGAACGACGGGGTTGGCTTGGACGGAGTTTGCCTAGGTGGGTATGGCGCGTTTCTTTTCGTGCCTCGACCTCCAACTCTGGGCATCAGGTCTATCGTCTACTTGCACCCTGCCACCATCGCTACAACTTCAACCGAACCCCTCATGTTTTCGCAATAACTCTCACTCATTACACATTCTGACATTCGTAGTGGAATTGTGGCCAACTACTGACTGCGGCCCGTAGCCGCTTCCTCGTCAGGTGCCTCCCATTCCCTCCCCGGGTCTCCATCAGCATGTTCTCCATCGCATCCACAGCCGATCCCACCGCACTCGATGACGGCACGTATCTCTTCGACCAAACTCACGATGATCTCCTATCGATGCCAATGTCTAATGATAGCATACATCTGAAAGGCGGCATCGCACCTATACCTGGGTTTAGCAACCTGGGCTACGGCCGCGAATCGAGTGCGTCGTCCGTGCACTACGGCGATTCTCGCGATACATCAGAACTTGGCACAAGTCACGAAGGGGAGGAGTCTACTCCAGGTGCATTCGTTAATGGATATGGAGCCAACTATACACCTTCGCCACTGCAAAAACCATTCACACCAAACTCAGGCATCAACGGCCTGACTAATATCCCGAACAAATATTCATCGCATCTGAAGGGCAGCGGTTCGCATGCGATTGTCAACGGAAACGACGCGAAACCTCACTCATCATTGAAAGACCATCGAAGGGACGCAGCGTTTACGACAAGAACACCACAGAGCCTGAGTCGCACATCACATGCATCTTCAACCCCCGAGCTTCCGCAGTCACACGAGCAGCCGAAGAAGCATCGAAGGACAAACTCTCTTCCGGCGAAAGGAAAGGTCATTGAGATGAAGGCGAATTCAAGCATACCTGCAGAGCTTTCCTGGCCAGAGTTTGGTAGGCAATGTATCCTAGCAGCAGAGAACAGTCGGCTCAACCCATTCACTCTACATCCTGCTGAGTACGAGCTATTACGAGATCATGTAACTCACGCCCAGGTTACCATCTACCTAAACATCAGGAACGCGATACTTCGCTTGTGGCATCGCAATCCTCTGGTATACGTCTCTCTCGAAGAAGCGGCGGGATGCGCTCGTGACAAGCGTTATTTTGGCCTCGCGAAGGTGGCACACTTGTGGCTCATGAGGAACGGATACATCAACTTCGGCTGCGCTGAGGTGCCTAATACTACTGGTACACTACCCAAGTCGAAAGCCAAGGTCGCGCGAAGACGGACCATAATCGTGGTGGGTGCGGGTATGTCAGGGTTAGGATGCGCTCGCCATCTGGAAGGACTGTTCGCCCAGCTTGGTGATCAGTTGACAGAAGCAGGAGAACTGCCACCTAAGATTACTGTCCTTGAAGCTCGCCCACGCGTTGGAGGCCGTGTCTATTCACACCCTTTTCTCAAGCAGTCCGGCTCTACACTCCCGCCTGGGCATCGCTGTACAGCTGAGATGGGCGCTCAGATCGTTACTGGATTCGAACACGGCAACCCGTTGAATTCGATCATCCGAGGTCAGCTCGGCATACCCTACCACGGTCTTCGCGACAACACTATACTCTACGACTACGATGGCACGGTTGTAGAGAGGGGTCAAGACATCTTGGTGGAGAAGCTATACAATGACGTCCTCGAACGAGCGGCAGCATACCGAAACAAGCCAGCAGCCCATAGGACAGTAGAAGGTGATCGTGACCTGATGGCCTTTGGCCGTGAGCCAGCTGATGCTGGTGGTCCTACCGTCGCCGAATTAGAACACTCCGATGCTCCCCTTTCCGCAAACGCTGCGAGCACCGCGTCGATGAAGCAAGAAAAACCGACAACAGGGGTGGAGAAGCTAGCTGGTAGGGCGTACCAACTCAGCGCTGGCTTCAACCCGGATGTCACAGCAGCTGACACGGTGCAAAGTATGGGTTGGGAACTCAAAGCAGGTGCATTAGGGACGCAGTCTTTAGATCTTGACACGATTGCGAAAGCGTCCCAGTATCCCACACTTGGGCAGACAATGGACGAAGGTCTTCTTCAATACCAATCGCTTGTCGATCTGAAGCCTAGAGACATGCGTCTGTTGAACTGGCATCACGCTAATCTCGAATATGCGAATGCAGTAAGCGTCAACCAGCTCAGTCTGAGCGGCTGGGATCAGGACATCGGCAATGAGTTCGAGGGCGAGCACAGCGAGGTGATTGGAGGATATCAACAAGTTCCGCGCGGCCTCTGGCAATGTCCCAGTCAGCTTGACGTCCGTTTCAACACCCCTATCAAAGCCGTTCATTACAACATCGAGGAGCAGCATCTAGGCAAAGCTGTCAAGATTGAGTGCACGAACGGCGATTTTTACGAGGCCGACCAGGTTGTTTTGACAACCCCACTGGGAGTGCTGAAGTCCGGGTCAATCAAGTTCGAGCCTCCTCTACCTGACTGGAAGCAGGACGTTATCGAACGAATGGGTTTCGGTCTCCTCAACAAGGTCAGTTCAACTATGAGACGATTGCTACCCTTTCTAATAATGTGCATAGATTGTTCTCGTGTACGAAAAGGCCTTCTGGGAGCCAGACCGAGACATGTTCGGCCTGCTCAACAAAGCAGAAGAGGAAGCCAGCATGCGACCCGAAGACTACTCTGCGAAACGCGGACGATTCTATCTCTTCTGGAACTGTATCAAAACAAGCGGAAAGCCAGTGCTGATAGCGCTGATGGCAGGCGACGCTGCTCACTACGCCGAAGCGACATCGAACGATCAGCTCGTTAAAGAGGTCACGGACCGGCTCGACGCGATGTTCGCACCGAACCACGTTCCACTCCCAACAGAAGCGATAGTGACGCGTTGGAAGAAAGATCCGTTCGCCCGCGGCAGCTATTCATACGTCGGGCCACAGACACAAGCAGGAGACTACGATATCATGGCGCGACCCCATGGCCCACTACATTTCGCAGGAGAAGCGACTTGTGGTACACATCCCGCAACGGTGCACGGCGCTTACCTGTCAGGCCTTCGGGTTGCTGCGGAGGTTGCTGAGACAATTTTCGGACCTATCAGAATACCCAGCCCACTTGTTGAAAAGAAAGTGGTCAAGATCGAACAGTCGCCAGGGACACCCAGCGTCGAGACGAAACGCCGATTCGAGCCTGCCGTTCCAACATCAACGTCGAAGTCGAGAGACAACAAATCTGGGCGGATACAACGCGACGAAGACTATGAAGCTGCCATTATAGGGGCTATATTGGAACAGATTGGTGAACGGCCAATCAAGCCAGGACGTACGGGCGTCAACCCGTTCCTGCTTTTCACCAAAGACTTCTGGTACATCTGCAAGCAGGAGTGCGATGACGCCCACAAAGCTAGGACAGGCAATCCTGAAGCCAAAGCACCGAAGCAAGAGATCCGTAATGCTGTGGGCTTACGGTGGCGCACGGCAGAGCAAGAAGTCAAGCAGCCCTACCTCGACCAAGCCAGCAACGCACGAGACGACGCGACGGCAAGCACAGCAGATTTCAAGGAGCGCGTAGACACGTGGGACAAAGAAGCCGCACGCATACGGCGCGAGTACATCCAGGCCAACCCGCCAGAGGGTGGAAACGAGGAGCTCATTCTTAACAGCCGCACAGCTATCGAGCTGGGAGCCGGCAAGCGATTGCGGAGACTCTAAGTCCTGTTTTGTTGTATTATTCATGTGTCATATTTGTGTTCCGTGGGCTATCAGCATTTGGAGGAGTTGAGATGGAGTTCGGGTAAAAGGGTGGCTGAGAT